CTCGAGTATATACGGTATGTATTGTATTCTTAACTCAAAAATGTAGCTTCTGTTCCTCTCAGCCTCCCCCAAATCTCCAAATTCCCTTTTTAACTACTGGGATCCAACTACCTGTTAGAGGGTGGCTACATTCGTTCTCTATGGTCCCACTGTATGTAGGAACGTAGCCACCATCTCCTGGCCGCTCCTGTGATGGACCAGGGTCTATGTACTATGGGGTATGTAGAGTGGATAGAGCAGTGTGCATGACCACAACTAATGTGGGAGGGAGAGATTCAGGAGCTTGGGTTGGGTAGACATTATAAGAAGGCAGAACACAGTAAGCAAAGCCATAAATATATAGATTTTAGGGCCCTTAAGTAGTGGATGTATATGGAGTATTTTTGGGGAATAAGGATATCGTTTAGTGTCAGCTTAATGTGTTGAAGATTGCAGGTCCTTTGATGTGGTGGCTGAATTCATTTGTTTCATTTGTTTTTATTGTCACCTGGTAATCCAGCAAATAACATACTTCCAGTCCTAGGGAAGCTAAATTCCCTTTCCACTGTGTTTATGGAGGCAGCCTTGGTTGTCACCCAGGCTGGACTCAAAGTGGTTTTAAAGGCTCAAGGTTTTTTTACCTTCGTGCATTCTATGCATAAAGGTAAAAAACCCTTCTGTGTGCAGAAGCTCCCCTTAATACTTTCCTGAGCCCCCCTCCCCATTCATTGGTGTGCATTAGAGCTTCAGCTCCACGGGTCTCTTCCTCTTCATTGGCTGATACAGCAGCAGGAGCCATTGGCTCCCACTACAGCCAATGAGCCAATGACGAGTGAGTGGAGGTGGGGCCAAGCCACGCACTGTGTGTAAATGGACAAACAGAGCAACAGCTCTGGAACGAGCCTGTTTGGATGCCCCCATAGCAAGCTGCTTGCTCTGGGGGCACTTGGTAGAAGGGAGGGGTCAGGTGCACCAATAGGGGACCTGAGACGAGGAGGATTGGGTCTGCTCTGTGCAAAACCACTGCACAGAGCAGGTAAGTATGACATTAATGCTATTTAAAACATGTTTTCCTCTCTTCATTCAATTATATGTAGGGTAGGGGAATTAGAAATAGATTAGAAAAAGAAGTAGAAAGAAGATAGCATTGTTTGTGCTTTCAGGTGGGTTTACGGGAAGCGACAAGGACACTGTATTTTTTGTTATTTTCTGTACTTGTTAAAAAAATTCTTATTATGAAGTGAAAGCCAACACAGCCACCATATTTAATGGCAAGTATGTTATATATATTATATTTTTATTCTTGGCTCTAAATATCTTTAAAGAAACAATCTCCACCTTCCCAAAAACAGCATTAGCTCCCATCCCTAGGTGATATCCAGGTACCCAGCTGCATCCAATGGAGACCCCATTTTAAGCATGGGGGGTTATAGAGTAAGAATACTCATTATTGTTTTGCCAACTGAAAGGTCTGTGGGTGGAACTAAACTTGGCCGTTCACAGTAGGGCGTTAATGACAGTGCCAACACCTAAGCAACTATAGCAGCAAGGGTGACAACTCTTCAATGATTTCACATCAGAAGGAAGAATGTTGTCATCCTATTAAAGGAAGTGCCAGTACAATGGTTCTACCAACAGGTAGCTACAAAATGTTTCTGGACATACTTAGGAAAACAGAATTACTGTTATGGCAGCCTACATGACATATATGGTTTATGGTTGGATCATAGTTCTTTAATCAATCGTTAATAAATACTCAAAGTATAAATTTTGCTTAAAAAAAGAAAAGTCCTCTAACCAGAATCACTCCGATCACAAAGGCAGAACGTAGACCTGGACATGAAGGGGTTTAGGAACCATTTCCTCCAACCGCCGGGGGAAGTAACCTTATAGTCACTCTTAAATACAACTCTAAATGACTCCATGCTCTGCTGGCAATCAGGCCGCAAACACTCAGCGAGGGGAAAAAAAGACACTTCTCTCTCTCACACTCTCCCTCTCGGGGAACAATAATTAAAGGCACCACTGATTTCATCATAAATTGCAGAGGAGACAGAAAATCTAAATTTCAGTCGGCAATATTCTGCAGCCGCAAAGGTCACCGAGATCTTATGAAACTCCCGAAGGCATTAAAAGTAATATACTGCCAGGGCGAAACATCCGCAAGAGCTTTTTTCTTCATTGTGCCTCGATGAAATAAATAGGAAGCAATTTATAGAGATCGAGGTCGCCGTATCCTTGTCCGCTGGGTAGTGTTAACGCAAAGAAATAAGACATTTTCTTTTGTTCTTTTTTTATTTTTAGAATGGAACATTAAGATGTCCATTTTCTGCCACAAAATCAGAAACTAGCCTATGATATAGAAATATTACACTGTACTTGGAAGGAAATTCTGACCTATCATTGTGCCATCTACAATGATCTATATTATGTCATATTATTTATCAAGGTAAAGGAATGTTGTACTCTACGAAGAGGGGACTTCTTTTGCAAATATACACTCACACAGGACTATACACAAGATATTTCCACATTGTCGAGGGAGTAGCCTACTATTTATACTACCTACAGGCTATATGGGCAGTTCACATAAGAGCTTATTTTTTGGCAACTGTGATGAAGTCTCCCCAAATCTAGGGGTAATCTTACCTTTAACAGCTGCCATTTGCCTTTTGAAATATCTCAGCTTGCCTTCTTTGCTTCATTAGCTTTAAAATTTTGGATTTCCCTTCAGTTTTTGTAATGATGACCACTATCACTGACACTGAAAGTGACCCAAATAAAATCCTAATAGGCACTAACCCTTCCTCCATCCAAACTTGGACTTAAGTTCTACTTTAAAGTAAACATTTCGCTTACCCATACAGCAGCTTCACTTTAAGGCCCCTTTCACATGGGTGATCAGATCAAGTCTGCCTGTAAGTTTTTCAGGTGGACCTGATCAGATGGTTCATGTATCCCTATGGTCCATCGGGTGTTTACACATGCCTATCTCCAATCCAATCCAGTCTGCTAAAAAGAAATGGAAGGAGACCCGTCCCCGTCTGTCTTGGCAGATCAGATTGGAGGGCAGTCAGGTGTAAACGGTCAGCAAAGTCCGTTTGCTCATGGCCACCCATAAAGCAGAGTGGGTTCTGTCCATGTCCGTGCTGCATAAACTGAATGGACATGTCATCTGCCGGTGGACAGATCCACTGTTGATCATAATGGAGCCTGCCCATTGTGAAACAGCCTTAAGGGTGACCCCTAGACCAGCACCTACATATCTATTTGGCCGCTGACAGCAAAGAGCAGAAGGAATGTGTAAGCTCCAAGCTATGACTTGCCTAGGCTAAGGTAATATCTTGAGTGCTGTAGGCAGGCAAGAGGAAGCATTTTCTCAGTCTTCTCTCTCTCAGTGATCAGACCGCAAGACTGCAGACTTTGTAGAAAGTTTAAGTGTTAGTTATTATTAAAAAAATAAAAATAAAAAAGTGAATTAACATCCTCACATTGTCCCGTGCTGTACTAACCTCTGTGGATGCCGAGCTGTCAGTGCCCATGCAGCTGATGCAGCATTTCAAGGATCTGAAATCCCCGCTCTTCTCCCTTTTTTCTGTACAGTACTTCCAAGAAGGATCAGAGTGATTCTGATTGGACAACACTGGCACAGGGCATCTCTCAAGTCCCTCCCAGGAACGGTACACAGAGAAAAGGGAAATAAGCAGGGATTTCAATCTCTCAGACCATTGAACCAAACAACTCCATGAGAAATAACCGCTCAGGATCCATGAAGGTAAGTACAGCTGGAATTGGGGTGGGGGGGTGCTGAGGGGGCGTTGTGGAAGGTGACCTGTGTTAGTTCACCTTTTCATTTTTTCTGAAAAGGTGAACTAACACTTAAGTGTGTAGACTGTGATGCATCCTTCTGGAAAGAATAATCAACTGAAGGCATTGTCAGGGGGAATACTATGATCTCTGTGAGAGGAAAAAATACATGGGCTTCAGTTACACATCTGCTGCTAGGTCCACATTAACCTCCCTAGCGGTATGATTCTTTCCGATTTTTTGTGCTGAAAGCGGTACCATTTACCATTTTTTTGCGTGGAAATATGTAGTTTTTTTATTGTATACTGTAATTTTTTAGGAATAACTCACTGCAATCTGAGTCTAGTAAACATCCCGGGTAGGATAAAATTTGAAACACAAAATCATAAGTTATAATTTAATAAATAATCACAAAAAATAATAATATAATAATAATAAATTTAATTCAATAATATAATCAAAGCAAAAACACTGAAATTTGAAATACATTGGCAAATTCGCACATCGCTGAGCTCAGTCGCAAAATCGTTTTCAGTGTCTGATGACGAATTTCCCCACGAATCATTATCACTCAATTCTGCAAGTGGTTCTGATTTACTATCGCTGTTCTCTAGCTGTTCTAAAACCGCTTTTGACGTAAAGGGACGCTTTTTAAGTTTCCAGGCAGAAAGAACAGTCAAAATGCAGGCAGGGCACAGGACAAAGCAGTAGGGACAAAATGTATGTCAAATGCATTAAAACAGCAATGTTTTACTATGTAATGATCATTTTAAAAAAAAATGACATTTTTTAAAAATGTCAAATTTGCCGCCGGTTCCGGCGCCCATACGTCCCGACGTCACAGGGACCGGAACACGGATGCCGGCATCGGCCGGAGGAGATGGCTGGGGACGCTGCAGGGGACACATCGTGGGAGCGAAGGACAAGGTAAGTGCTGCAGGGACTCCTTATGCAACGCTGCATGGTAAGCCCGAGTGTAGCTCGGGGTTACCGCTTTTGGTACTGACATTTTACCCCGAGCTACACTCGGGAATACCGCTAAGGAGGTTAATAAGATTAATAGGACTATGAATTTGATCATATATATATATTTACACACACACACACAGTATATACTATATTGCAAAAAGTATTGGGCCAGCCCTCCAAATCATTGGATTCAGGTGTTCCAATCACCTCCATGGCCACAGGTGTATAAAATCAAGCACCTAGGCATGCAGACTGCTTCTACAAGAATTTGTGAAAAAATGGGTCGCTCTCAGGAGCTCAGTGAATTCAAGTGTGGTACCGTGATAGGTTGTCACCTGTGCAATAAGTCCATCCGTGAAATTTCTTTGCAATTAAATATTCTATGGTCAACTGTTAGTGGTATTATAACAAAGTGGAAGCAACTGGGAACAACAGCAAGTCAGCCACGAAGTGGTAGGCCATGTAAAATGACAGAGCGAGGTCAAAGCATGCTGAAGTGCACAGTGCGCAGAAGTCACCAACCGCAGGTCCTCCAAACTTCATGTGTCCTTTAGATTAACACAACAACAGTGCATAGAGAGCTTCATGGAATGGGTTTCCATGGCCGAGCAGCTGCACCCAAGCCTTACATTACCATGTGCAATGTAAAGCATAGAATGCAGTGGTGTAAAGCACACCGCCACTGGACTCTACAGCATTGGAGACATGTTCTCTGGAGTGATGAATCACGCTTCTCTGTCTGGCAGTCTGATGGACGTGTCTGAGTTTGGTGGTTCCCAGGAGAACAGTATTATGGTGTGGGTTTGTATTTCAGGGGTTGGGCTTGGCCTCTTAGTTCCAGTGAAGGGAACTCTTAAGGCAACAGCATACCAAGACATTTTGGACAATTTCATGCTCCCAACTTTGTGGGAACAGTTTGGGGATGGCCCCTTCCTGTTCCAACATGACAACATGCAAGGTCTATAAAGACATGGATGAGCACGTCTGGGGTGGAGGAATTTGACTGGCCTGTACAGAGTCCTGACCTGAGTGCGTGTAAAGGCAGGTGTCCCAATACTTTTGGCATTATAGTTTGTGTATATATATACAGTGGGGAAAATAATTAATTGTTCCCCTGCACATTTTGTATTTTTGCCCACTTACAAAGAATTTAAGGGTCTATAATTTTTATCATAGGTATATTTTAAATGATAGAGACAGCATATCAACCAAAAATCCAGAGACACCACATGATACAACTATTAAAATTGAGCTGCAGTTCAGTGAGTAAAATAAGTATTTGATCCCCTACCAACCAACAATAATTCTGGCTCCCACAGACTGGCTATGTGCTCATGTGGTTCACAGATTAGTCCTATCAATTTAAGAAGGTGCTCCTAATGACAGCTTGTTATGTGTATAAAAGACACCTGTCCACAAAATCTCTTTCAGCCATTCAAACCTCACCCCCATAAGAAAGACCAAAGAGCTGTCAAAGAAAGTCAGGGACAAGATTGTAGACCTGCACAAGGCTGGAATGGGCTACAAGACCATCAGCAAGAAGCTTGGTGAGAATGAGACAGCTGTTGGAGCGATTATTCGCAAATGGAAGAAATATAAAAAAATAACCATCAATCGCCCTTGGTCTGGAGCTCCATGCAAGATTTCGTCTCACAGAGTAAGGATGATCATGAGAAAAGTGAGGGATCAGCTTAAAACTACATGGGTGGAGCTTGTGAATGATCTCAAAACAGCTGGGACCAAAATCACCAAACAAACCATTGGCAACACCATCACAACAGTCAAGCACGGAGGTGGAAACTTTATGCTTTGGGGCTGTTTCTCTGCTAAAGGTTCAGGCTGACTTTGCCGCATTGAGGGGCCAATGAACAGGGCTGTGTATTGTAAAATCTAGGATGAGAACCTTCTTCCCTCAGCCAGAACACTGAAGATGTTTCGGGATGGGTCTTCCAGCATGACGATGACCCAAAATACTGTATACCGCCAAGGCAACAAAGGAGTAGCTCAAGAAGAAGCGCATTAAGGTCATGTGGCCTAGCCAGTCTCCAGATCTTACTCCTATAGAAAATTTATAAGCTAAAACTTCAAAAAACCTTAAGGATTTAGAGAAGATCTGTAAAGAAGAGTGGACCAAAATCCCTCCTGAGATGTGTGCAGACCTGCTAACCAACTACAAGAAACGTCTTACCTCTGCTTGCCAACACGGCTTTCTCCACCAAGTAATAAGTCATGTTTTGCTTGGGGATCAAATACTTATTTTACTCACTGAACTGTAACTCCCATTTATAACATTTGTATTGTGGGTTTTTTTCTGCATTTTGGTTGATATTCTGTCTCTATCATTTAACCATTAGCCGCCCGGCCAATGGCCGTTTGGCGGCTTCAGATGTGTCCCTGCATTCCGGGTGCACGCCATTTGGCGTGCTCCCGCACATGCGCCGTTTGCGCTAATGCAGAGCGGCGCAGCAGTGCGATCTGTCACCGGCCGTGCACCTGGGACACGGCCGATGACAGATCCGAGTACCGGCTCCCGTTGCTGGTACCATGTGACCTGCTGTGACCAATCACAGCAGGTCACATGACAGTTTTATACAATGGATGGCTTCATTCATGATGCCATCCATTGTATACTAGTGCCTAGCTGTGAATGGTCACAGATAATCACATGCACATGTCATGTGATTAGCTGTGACCAAATCACAGCTAAGCACAAAAAAAAAAAAAAAAAAGCTGAATGAATCGATTTCATTCAGGTAAATGCTTGCTTATAGCAAAGTAATTCTTTGCTATAAGCAAATTGTGTAAAAAAAAAAAAAAAATACTGATCACTTCCCCAAAGTAGTACAATGTTACTATGGTAACATTGTACTACTTTGGTCATAGTAAAATATGAAAAAAAAAATCTTAAAAAAAAAATGTAATAAAAAATTAAATATAATAAAATTAATAAAAAAAATTAAAAAAAAAAAAATATATATATATTTTTTTTTCATACTGTCACCAGTCAGTGTCCCTGTTCACCGCCATGCCAGTTATATGATGACGCTGTACTGCACTGGTGACAGTATGTAAAAAAAAAAATAGTGAAAATAATTTTTTTAATTTTTTCATTTTCCGAAAAATTATGGCAAAAAAATACAACTTCAAAAAACTCGCCATGCCTCTTATGAAGTACGTCGGACTGTCTACTCTGCAAAAAGGGGTCATTTGGGGGATATCTGTACTATTCTGACATTCTTGGACCTCAAGAAATTAGATTGGCCGTCAGTACTTCAGGATTGATCAATAATCAGATCTATACCAGAGTTTGTGAACTCTATAACTTTCCTACGAACTAAAAAATACATCCTAATTTGGGTTATTTTCACCAAAGACATGTAGCAGAATACATCTCTGCCTAAATTTCTGAAGAACAATTATTTATTTGTAAACTTTTATAACAGAAACAAAGAAAAATGTGTTTTTTTTTCAAAATTTTTGGTATTTTTTTGTTAATTTAGCAAAAAATAAAAACCCCAGCGGTGATTAAATACCACCAAAAGAAAGCTCTAGTTGTGTGAAGAAAATGATAAAATTTTAGTTTGGGTACAATGTTGTATGACCGCGCAATTGTCATTCAAAGTGTGAGAGCGCTGAAACCTGAAAAATGGCCTGGGCAGGAAGGGGTAAAAGTGCCCGGTATTGAAACGGTTAAAATACACCTATGATAAAAATTATAGACCCTTCATTTCTTTGTAAGTGGGCAAACTCACAAAATCTGCGGGGAATCAAATAATTTTTTCCCCACTGTATATGTATAAAATATATCTATCTATATATACTGTATATAGATATTCAATGCACAGGCTTCTAAAAACTGAGCTTTATTCTATTGCCAGCAGACAGGTCCACTCTGCTAAAAAGCGTTTCTCTCGGCTCTATCTGCAAGCCTGAGAACACATTAAGGATATCAGCTTGAAATTCTGGAAAATCGATAGAAACCAGAGGCTCATAAATAATTTTACATCAGCATAAAACATAATAAATATTTCTTTATTTCACCACGAGCAGCCATAACCCCTGTGATAGTCTCCTTGAGAATAGAACAGTTTACTGCTAAGACGTGACAAAAATACCAGCTCTCAGGAGAGCGCAGCGATCCAGAGACATATAGGCTGTTTTACGATAACACCTGGAAAAATTCTCATCTGCTTGTCAGGCAACTCGTAAACAAAATCGGGCCTGTGGAGTCTCAGAAAGGCAGCAAAGCCCCTAGTGTGACCAAAGTGCAAAATTAAACTGTATGACAGCTTTTGAAAAGTGCCTTTACGTGTTTAAAAATTAACGACCAATAAAGGTACAACAGAAGTACATTATCGGGCTTATGCAGCAACAAGTGCAAGTAGCAATTTACTGCCGCCCTAGTCAATGACCCACCAATGCCATTATGGCAAATAATACTGTCTACACAGTAAAATGTATTCACATTTGAGTATTTGAACCCCTGTGCTGTAATAAACAGTGACTGAAAATGCTTAGCAATTTACAGCAAATAGAAAGGTGTACCCTGCATTGCTGTGTACTGGGGCATGTTAATGAGAGAAAATGCCAGACAAGATGAGAGTCAGACTTATTACATGTATGTATCTGTTACTATTGCCCTTGAATCCACTCATGTCCTCATTTTGTTATTTAGTCCATGACGAAGAAGAAGGAGTGTTTTGGCCCTGAAACACATTAGATGCATTATGCGATCGAATTATGAACAATTAAAAGCATCTTGGACTCCCTCTTCTTTTGGTTTTGGTACTCCTTTCTATATCTCTATGGGTATAACTTGGCTGTGTTTTTTACATTTTGTTTTTAATTGTCTTCACTCTCTGACCATTGCCACTTAGAATGAAAGTGATGGAAATCCAAAATGCTACACTTGTAACTGAAAAAGGCATTGATGGCAAATCATCCAATAGGAACATTTCTGGTGACGACTGTCTAAAATCACTTTGGAGAGATTCCCTCTCACACTTTGTTGTGTTCCTGGGACATGGAATGACACCCACTAAGATGGCCACCGATCCCAGAACCAAAAGCAGTGGCTTGACATCAGAACGTATAGCTTTGCCCAACACATTTTGTGCTAATGCACATTTTCAGGGATCCTAGTTTTTAGAAACAATTTTACTTACCTGATCCTCTGCTCCCTCAGCAGATAGTGATGATTGGACCGTTCCTCAGCTATGGACCCTGCTTTGGTCTTGATGACATTAGGACCCTAGCCCGCTAGAATGTGGGGGAAAGAGACTGTGGCAATCAGTCTAGCAGCGGGGAGGAGTGGAGGATCGGGTAAATAAGTCTTTTTTTGTTCTCTTAGATCTTAATGAGCAATCAACCCTTGCAGTGCGGGTGCAGCCCCACTGCAAGGAATAATTGTTTTAGCTGCCTGGCATTGGGCTTTAAAACAAAATATGTCATTGGCACCCGGAAGATCAGCACACGGCATGTGTGGAGGCAGGCCTGGCCTGCCCAAGGGCACTGACTCCCTTACAGTGCAGCATCAATGCCAATACGGTTGATTACAAAGCCTGGTCTGCTTCTGCTCCCGCTGCCCACCTACCTCCATGACATTTTAGAGAGAGGTCCATCTGATGTCACTGATGTTGACGTGCTTGCCCTCTGTGCAGCAACATAGAACTGCCTGCATCTGCGGACGTCGTTCATTGCCATCTTTCTTTCTTTCCTCCACCTACTGGAACCACCAGCTATACTAAGTGGAAATGTAAAACCCCTGTATTTCTGATGGTGCAGGAAATGGGGTTGATCTGAGGTCTATATCGCACTATCGTTGACTGGCATGTCTAATGCTTGTAAATTGACACATAGTGTTGAAAAGGTTGCCGGTCCCTGCTCTAATATGA